CTTGCCACGATGTGGTGGATGGTGTCACCATGACTATTTTGTTGTGTAGCTGCCATGTTGTGGAGGCCAGTTGGGGATGATTTTGACTGTTGACTTTTTGACCAAGTTAACTTTTGGTCAACGTGATGGTTTTAGGGTGTAGATTGAGAGGGTACTTCTATATTGATGATTAGGTGATTCTTAGTACCGGTCTTCACTATCCGAGAGTTATTGTGTTAGTCTTCTATTTGTATGGCAAGTCTTCTTGGTATATTACCTATGTCATAATAGGGTACATGCTAGACTAGTTGGGTCTTATTTGTTGATTGTTGTTACGTATATTTATTGAGTTGTTGATAACTCCAAGACTGTTGATAATCTGTAGGGTTGCTAATAACCTATAGGGCCATTGTGAGATCATAGGACTATTGATAGTCCTTAGGACTGATGATAATCCTAGGGTTGCTGATAACCCATAACTGTTTATTATGATTTGATGTATGTAATATTTTAGGAAACCCACTAAGCTTCATACTTACAATTGTGGATTTAAATGTCTTTTAGGTACTTTAGATGATTGTGTAAAGACGAAGGCTTGATTGTACACACTCATCAATAGCCTTTGTGATTCTGCATTATTATGATACTCAGGTTTTTGGGATGACTGTATTTTGATACTTATGGTTTTCTTGACTTGGTTTTATGGAAACAATGTTTTTACCTAATTTATAAATGAAAATTTTGGTTGTGAAAACGGAATGTTACAAAAAAACATTTTCTAGTTCTTGATTGAACCAGAGAGACCATCAATATTAGAACCATGGTTTTGAGCGGGAAAAGTATAGCAATAATCGACATCAAAAAAAACAAGCAAACCTCTGTCGAAACTACGTATGCTCGACACAAAAGCTCAATCCATATAAGCTTAAAACTGACATTAGGTTTTAACTAGGTTAAGTGAATGTGATAATACTCTAATACTAAAGAAAGTAGTATGAGGAAGGAGAAGACTAACTTCGAGATAGCTGACATATCTCCTAACTTTTCCATGATGAAGGGTTCTGTAATACATCAACAACAGACATGATATCCACATCATCCATCACCATTAGTTCATAATACACGAGAGTAATTTCCATCTAGGTCAGAGTAATCGTCAATGCAAAAAGCATAAGTTATCAATAACCATATTGGGGTGTCATACGCAACAAATAATGAAAATATGCTCTTGGGTAACTTACACGAACCGTGTAATATTACATATTTCATGTTTTCTCAAACCCATGTTCTCGAGTCTTCTAATGACGTATGTTGCTTCATTAAGTAATTTTATGAAAACACAATCTTTATTTTTAGTATTGACCAATATTCAAAATGCTTTTCCCTAACTTGTATGCTTTTCAAGACATGGTCTCTATTTTATGTTACATGGTTTGTGCTTCTTCCATCCTAATGATTTATGTCATTTGGTCCTTTTTATAACAACTACTTCCAATGTGCTGCTCTCCATCAACATGATCCATATCAACACCTTCATGACTCACCATGCACATGTTGTACATTCATTTCCCTTCAAATAAAAGTAAACAATGAGTAATACGAGCACTCCACAAAATACATGTATTGTCCATTAACTACTAAAACCATAGAAGTTTAAACTAAAAGTGATATGTAAAATAGGAAAATAAACATGGAAAAAGGATGCATAAAATGCATATAGCACACCATTAACAAAGATAATGTAGTAGCCAAAATTTCATAAAGGAAAAAAATAAAGGGAAAAGGAAAATTACAAAATTAAGGGTTTATCTTTCTTTTAAAAATGATGAGATTATGGTAGGACAATGATAACATGTTTATCACTACTAATACGACGGAATGATAGTTTCATAACTAAAAGACAGTTTGACATCCCATATGTATGTATAATAACTAGGGATGTTCGTTTTGGATGGATGAGTTTAATCCGATCTGATTAAGTGAATCCAAATTAAATTCTATTTTCAAAATGTAGACCCAAATAGTCCAAACTAATTAAAATCAAATCCGACCCGATCCAACCAAATTATAATTCGGTTGGATCGGTTTTTTTACAATTCGGTTTTCAATAATCATGACATTTCAGCAAATATATAACTTTAGTATTAACTTACTCTATAATATAAACTAAAAAAATATTTTTTAATTAGTTGTGAATTAAAACTTATAAATAACTATCAAGAAAAATATATCATAGTATACTACTTTATAGACAATTTTTTTATAAGAAGTACATACTAAAATATTATAATAGTTGAAAATTTTAATATACTAAAATAATAATTTAGTAAATTTATAAATAATTAAAGATATATATTAGAAAGAACAAAATAATAAATTGCAATTTGGTTTTTTTTGGAATATTCGGTTTTTACTTTATAAAGCAAAACCATTCCAAAATCCAAAATAATAATTCGGTTTTGCTAAAAACCAATCCAAAAATCCGAACCAAATAGTCCGATCCAAATTGTGCAATTGGACAATTCGGTTTAATCCAAATAGTGAACAACCCTATTAATAACAACCTTGGAACATAAGTATAAGTGTTGAGAAAAAGGATCAACATGAGCATAAATGTCATAAGTTTGAACACCAAAGCACGATGACACTCGTTTAGCTATCCGGACTCAGGGACTTGATGGGTGATCCACCCTTCCGGATGACCGAATTTACAAGGAATGCCCAACCAAGATCTCTCATGATTATGATGAACAATATCCATGATATAAGAAGGGTGAAGGAAATCCTCTAACTAGGACCAAGGAAAAAACTCAAACTTAGTAAATAATAAGCCCATAATACACCTAATACCTTGAATGTAAACAATGTTATCCAATGTATTGATATCTTCATTACAACTCCCACACACCTCATATATATAAACATGTCAAAATTAGTGGCTCAAGGGAAGACAAAGAGATTCTAACATGCAATACATATATATATATACACACACACACACTCATATGGTATAATCTCATTCCCATAATATAAAATCTATTTGTTGTAACTCAGGCACCATAGAGTATTATTTGGAACATCCTGATAATTCTCCTGACCCTCTTTTGTCTATATACAAGGTTATATACTCATTATAAACAAGGAGATGTCGCAAATTGTTAAAACAAAGATTGAGATAACAATATTGTATGTAGATGACATGATTATCATGATGATGATTTAGATGGTATTGAATTCTTAAAGTGTGATGAGGCTTGTTATTTTACTATAAAAAGCTTGGGAATGCTTTATCATTCTCTAGATAATGATGTTGCATATTCTAAACAATATAATCTCTTATATCATGCATAATATAGTTCCACTTTGTTTCAACGTTCAAGCTTCACTAACAACATGTGATACCCTATTTAAACCGGTTGACATTACTCTTGTTTCTAATTGTGTTTCTTTAGCAAGAACTAGCTTGTATCTTACCATTGTAGACAACTTGGTTTGTCTTATAGGAACTCGCCCAGATAGAGCATATCATTCATATGGTTAGAGTTACTTTCCATAGTACCGTTTATTAGGGAGCATATTTTCTCACTCTCATATATCTACAAGGTACTCAATTTCAAAGTCTCTTGTTTCCATGTATATCTTCTAAGTGTCATACACTGCCAATGATACTGATTGGTATTACGATCATACAAAACACAAGTTAATTCCCAAATAATGTATATTTATTGAAAATTTTCTCATATCTGGAAGAGTAAGAATCAAGATGTTGTTTCATGAACCCCCAAAGAAGTTAATGATTGTGCAATGATTTTGAGTACTTGTGACCTATACAGTAAGGGTGAGCAAAAATATCATTGTTATCGAACGAACCGGTACCATGTATATATTTTCTGGATGGTACTCGGTACAAGAAAAAATCGTGAAACATTAGTTATTTGGGGATATAGGTGTTGATATGTCATATCTTACAATGTCACATTTTGTTAATAGAAGTATGATTCAAATTGTTGTACATCAAGTTTTCATGAGATGATCAAACATATTGAGATTGATTGTCATTGTACTCGACATCATCTTAAATTTTGAAGAATTACGTTTCCTTATGTCCCTTCCTCTCTCTAGATTCTGGTTCTTTTTACTAAGGCAAGCTCGACCTCACGCTTTTGTTTTTTCTTAAAAACTCTCAATACTTATCGTTGTAGCATTGTGAGTTTGAAAGGATGTTAGCTTACATATTTAACATATTTCTACAATCATCTTAATACTTGAATACCATTTTATTTTAGTTTTGGTTTTCCTTAGTTATTATATATATATATATATATATATATATATATATATATATATATATTCCTTCTCTTCACATTGTAATGTATTTTTTTTAAGATAATAAATAAAACCTAGCCATTTTGCTTATTAATCTTCATCCATGCCTTGAACTTGTAGGAAAGAGAAAAGGCACATAGATTTTAAAGATAATTATAGAAAACTTAAAATAAAAAAAAAGAAAGAAATGAGAAAAAGACGATTCATAAACCATTAGGCTGGTAGGAGTGGGGGTCGCTAAGACCGTCGCTAGCACAGGATAAACACCACCCTTTAGCATGTGCTAAGGGAGGTGTTAAGAAAAAGTCGCTACTTTGTTAGCGAGAGGAGAGAGAGGAAGAAATAAAAAAGGGAATGTTGTTTTGGGTCATTTCTTTTTGTATTTGTATTTTTTTTCTAAAAACAAATGACTATGATTGGTTCTTTTCCCTTTTTTTTTTTTTTTTTTTTTTTTTTTTTTTTTTTTTTACAATCCAAGTGTAAATGTTTTTTAAGAAAAACTTACCTGGCAAGGAAAATGTATGATGTGGCATGTTTTAGAATGGTGTTAGAAGTGTTACCACTTCTTCTAAGGTTAGAGATATGCAAGGTGTGTGGCGTCTAGAAAAAAATAAGACTTGATTTTTGGGAAATCTGCGAAAAAGTCCCAAAATTTTGGCCCAGTTTATGATTTAGTCATAAATTAAATTTCACTTATGAAAAAGGCCAGATTACCGGCTATTACACTCACTTTAGCCCTAGGAACCGGTAATCCTTATAATAGCCGGTTACCCCAGCTGACTCATCCTTATCACCCTTCACTAACCTCCCCGTCATCTACTCCTCCTCTGTAAAAACCCTTTCTTACCCTCCATCGAAGCAAAACGTTACCTGAGAAGAATCAAAGGTAAGAAAATCCACGTGGTCCTCCAATATCTTGTTTCCCTTATAATATTTGATTAATTTTTGTTTTTTAGTGATAATGGAGACAGTAGATGACTTCAATACCATTAACGTGGAATTGGATGAGTTTTTCAAACACAAAAAAAGAAGTCGATGCAAAGATGAGTTCCTAAATACTCTCACAGACGAAGCGCTTGACGAATGCACCATACCTGAGATAAACCTAAATGATTTTGAAGGAATATCAGAAGATGAAGCACCGCAGGAGAAGCAAAGTGATAGTGAAGGTGACGATGAAGACAAATTGCAGTTCCAATACTCAACCCATGATCTGAAGGTGAGATGGAACAATATGAAGCCAGTTCTTGGAGAGAGGTATGAATCACCACACCAACTAAAGCTTTGTTTGACAAATTACTCTATAAGTAGGGGTTATCCAATTAGGTTCAAGAAATGTGATAGTGTAAGGCTCGTGGTTGTATGTGCAAGTGACCCTGAAAAATTTCAATGTCCCTTTGTTGTAAGGGCCTCATGGATGAGCACTGAAAGATCATTCCAAATCAAAAAAAATGGTTAAGCAACATACTTGTGTTAGGAATTTCCGTAGTGCTAATATTATGGATCCCACATGGATAGCTAGGCAGTTTCTGAAGGAGATGATTAGGAAACCAAATCTAAAATGTAAGGAAATGCAAGCTATTATTCAAAGCAGGTTCCATTGCAAGGTTTCATGGTCAAAATGTTATAGAGCAAAGTGTAGGCAAATTTCTTTAATAGATGGAAAGTTGAGTGATCACTATGTAACAATTTAGGATTATGGACATGAACTGATCAGGTCCAATCCAGGGAGTACAACTCAAATATCTGTCATTGTAACGCCCGCAGATCCGGGCTAGTCAATTTTGAGGCAATAAGTGTCGAAAACAAATTTTCGACAAAAGATTATTTAGAATAAATAATCTTAACCAAGTTGTAGAATATGTCACAAGGTTTCCGTACATATAAAGAACGACGAAATCCGAGTTATAACGAACAAGTTATGACCTGTCGAAGTTTCGCGACGGAAACGACACATCACCGGGGAGCGTAAATAGTGAATTTACGATAGAGTGAGATTTAGCCTTAGCGATATAAACGAAAGTCGTAGAATATGTTAAACTAAAAACATCGATAAAAAGAACGCCCAAATCTGACTTTGTATTAAGAAGTTATGATTTTTCGAAGTTTCGGACTAGGATTGTACAACCCGAAATTCGAATATTAGATCGAGCGGTTTTTGGCCTACACGACCTAAACAAGAATCTAAGATCTCATTAAGAGTATCGTAACGAGAAAAAGATGGATGAAAATGGACATCGTATGAAGAAGTTATAAGGATTTAACAGTCCAATCCTGTCCCGGCATGTTAATAATATAAAATTTAAAGTCGAGCCAAAATTAGCCGACGGAGTCTAAACAAAAGTTTTAGAGTACATTCCCACCTTCGCGTGGATATAAAGAACGTCAAAAACGGAGCTCGTATGCGAAAGTTACAATTTTTAGAAGTCGAGAGTGAAATTTGCGAAGTCTGTTGCTAAATCGATGACATGGCATGATCTGGACCGTTGCTTGCTCATCATGCCTCGCATCCGAAGATCACCACGAAGTCTCGCTTACGCCCAACGTCCGAAGCTGAGTACGCGTCGTGTACAGCTGCCACCCTCGGTCCACAAGAAGTCGCGTAGCTCCAGCCGATGTCCGACGCGTGTCTCGTATGAAGCCATCTGGTAGCCCAATGCGAAGGACGCCGAGCGTACCTCGGAACTACGCCCAACGTAACCGAGGCTGCTGAGGCTATAAAAAGAAATGAGGGTTGCCGAGCAAAACACACCATTTCTCATTCTCTCTCTAAAATCTTTCTCTCTCTAGCCTTTCTAAACCCCCTAAGCCCTAGTTAAAACCCTTAGCTTCCGAGGGAAGCCCCGAGGCTTCCGGAGTCCCAAGAAAAAGAGCCTTTCGGTTTCGAAACGCTGCTCCAAATAAGTTCCGGTTTTCGATAAAATTCGTTGTAACTGTGCTACGCTTACGCAATTTTTAATATAGCTTTCAAATAATTATAGGAATGTTATTAGGTCCTTAAAATAATTATTTGGGCTATTATTATGAGTTATATTGAGTGGTATTTAACGCTTATATAATAATAATAATAGTCAGACTATTAATTGGTCGCGGTTATCATTAAACTAAACCCTAGTGGTATTAATACTAGGTTTTATCGAAGGAAAGTTGTTTTGAGAGTATCGAAGCGCTGTCCGAGTGCCGAGTCACCACCTTTCAAGTGAGTGCATAGTCTCTTTCATGTTACACATAGATATGAAGTATTTTAATATAAATTACGTGCTATGTGTGTATATTGTCTGAATACTTGTTGTCTATGCTGGGTGAAAGATTTTGTATACATGTTTTAAATGATTTAAACTGTATATGTACTTTATATCTACAAAATGTGTTGGGTAAAACATGGGTAGATGAAATAGTTGTTTTGTGATAACACGATGGGAGACATCAGTGTTGTCAGTGATCCAGTCATCTAGTGGAGTATAGATGACGACTATGGACGATACGAGACGGTCCAGTGGAACGATAGCAGGCTCGTAACCTGTAGGTGTTTTTGAACTAGGTGCTCATTAGGTATTTTTGAACTGAGTGTGTTCACTAGGTATCTTTGAACTGAGTGTGTTCACTAGGTATTTTGAACTAAGTGTGTTCACTAGTTACTTTTGAACTAAGTGTTTACTAGATGTTTTGGACTACGTGTTCACTAGATATATTCTATAAGCCTTGGTAATGATGGACTTCGTGTCGATTCCTTAGGAATAAATAAATGAGGAATAAATGATTCTTAGGGTAGATCCTTAAGACTAAAGAAGATAATGGGGATGGGTAATTGGGTTGATTGTTTGATTGTTTAAACATAATAATTATATTATTGTGGGTTGAAAACCCTATGTACTCACCAGGTTTCCCAACCTGACCCACTCAGTTTATTTATATCACAAGTGTTGATACGAAGTCGCTTTACACTGAGAGATTTAAAGAGATGTAGATCACTAGTGTAAATAAATGTAAGTTCTGTTTATGCTTATGTTTCTGTATTAACGATGACATCCCAAACGTTTTGAAATGAATAAAATACGTTTCTTCGAAAATGTTTTAATAACGTATTTATCATGTTTTTCTGGGAACAAATTCCGCAACATTTTTATTAAAAGAAGTACTCTGATTTTTATAAAGCATAAACAAAAATCAGTCTTTTCTGGTCGTGAATATGGGGATGTCACAATCACTGTAAACCCTAATAACACCACTACTTTCCATAGAATGTATACATGTTTTAAGGCTATAAAAGAAGGATGGAAAGTTGGTTGTCGAAGAGTTATAGGGCTTGATGGGAGTTTTTTGAAAGGACAATGTAAAGGTGAGCTGCTAACTGCAATAGGGAGGGATGCAAATAACCATGTGTATCCCGCTGCTTGGGTAGTAGTTTAAATTGAGAACAAACCCAACTGGCAGTGGTTCTTGGAACTATTACATGATGACCTGGAATTACAAGGAGGCTTGGATTTGTGTGTTAGTTCTAATCAACACAAGGTAATGTTTTCAATTATCTCTTTTGTTTCATTTCATTTATACATGGATCAAGCAGTTAGTAATGAAATTTTTTAAAGTAATTGATAGGGTCTTTTGGAAGCTGTAAAGGTTGTATTGCCACATGTGGAGCACAAACAATGTGCAAGACATGTGTACGCAAATTTCAGAAAGGTCTTCAGTGGTATAGAGTTCAAGAATATGTTTTGGACAGTTGCCAAGTCAACTATTGAAGCAGACTTCAAATTGAATATGGAGAAGATCAAAGAAGTCAATCATGTTGCGTATGATCATTTGATGGCAAGGGAGCCTAAATCTTGGTGTAGGGAATTTTTTAAAGGTGGAATGGCATGTGAGGCTGTTGAAAATGGAATGGCAGAGTGTTTTAATGCCATCATACTTGATGCTAGAAAGAAGCCCTTGTTGGCCATGCTTGAGGAGATTAGACTATATATGATGGAAATGTTATTTAACTTGAAGCAAGAAACACGTAAATGGGTGAATAATGTGTGTCTAGGACGTATTAAGAAAATGGATGAGTTTGCTTTTCATATCAAGTAAGTATTATAAAATTAAGACAATGTATGAGTTTAGTATTGAGACTCAATATGTATACTAATTAAAACTGTTAATGTCTTTGCAGGAGTTGGTATGTTCATCCTAGTGGTTTGAATGCTTTTAAAGTAAGAAATGGCTTCCACTCATATGGAGTTAACTTAGAGGGGATGTACTGTACATGTAGACTTTGGGAGTTATCTGGGATCCCCTGTATCCATGCCCAAACAACCATAATTTACACACAATAGGATCCAGCTAGATTCATTAGCACATGGTTTGGTAAGGACAAGTTCTTAGCTACTTATGAGTCTAACATCCTTCCTGTTAATGGCAGTAATATGTGGGAACCAACACCTTACACCAAACCACTACCTCCTATTGAAAGAAGGATGCTAGGAAGGTCGTGTATGAAAAGTAAAAGCCATGTCTCTTAACATCAAGACAATTTTTCCCAAGTCTCCTCTAAGGGTAGAACTGTCCACTGTCAGAATTGTATGCAAATGGGGCACAATAAAGTGTCTTGCAAGAATCCCTCAGTCAAACCAACACCAAGGCCTGAGAAGAAAATAGGAAGGCCAAGGTTGAATCCAGAATTGACCAATTGCACTAGACTTGGGAGAGGTGGTGGAAGAGGTGGTAGAAGATGGGGTAGAAGAGGTGGAAGAGGGTCTACCAGTGTTTATGAAGAAGGTGAAAGTTCTGGGAAAAAAGAACATGGGATTGAGACTCAATTTGTCACCCAAACAACACCTAATATTGTTGAGAGTCAATTTTTCACCCAAACAGCACCTACTGTTGACAGTGAACATGTACCAGAAACATAGGAAGCAGATGTTAAGATTAATGATGAAGGTGATGGTCTTGATATGGCTGATCTGGATCAATTACTTCATGAATTAAGTTACCTTAGAGAGTCAAAATACAGTGAAGCAGAGATCCTTTTGTGTCTTAATATCACCCAATCACAACTTAAAGGATTTGATGTTTTGCTTCACCAATCTAAACAAGCTGCAAAGGTATATTTTATAACATTGAGAGTGAATTTTATTTTTTAATAACATAACTAACTTGTATCTTTTCCCATGCCAGGATGTGCCTTTTATGAGTGAACATGTACCAAAAACACAGGAGGACAATGATGAAAACAAGGAGGAGAGTGACTATGAAGATGAAGTTGAAGAATCACAAGTGGAAAATGATAAAGATGGAGCTGATGATGATGAAGAGGGAGTTGATGATACTCAAGTTAGGGTTAGAACTCAAGTCAGGATTAGAACAAGAAAACCTTCTGAAAGGATCACTGAAAACATGTTAAAGAAAATTGTGGTTGACAAGAAAGGAATAGGAATGGCTCCAGAGAAACCTCTTAGTTTGGATTAGATTGGTTAGGATTTAAGCAGTTATATGTGCTATCTGGGCAAATATGTTAGGAAGCCCTTTTCATTAAATTTGTTAATATGCCATTTCTTTTGTAAACAATATACAATATGGCTGCATTATTAACACTATGACTGATTTTGGTATGTTTTGTTGATGTATAAGTTACATCCATTTTGGTCATTATGTTATATTGAAAAACATCCTTCATTTGCTCACATCATACAGTTACAATTGTACATTGCTCAAACAATAGGTATCCATAAACATATTTTTCATTTAACAACATACAACTTACATCTAACTGTCATTTAAAAGTTTTAAAACAACTTAAAACTACTTCAACATAATCCACCCAATCACCGACAAACACAAAAAAAAAAAAAACCCAATCTTCCATTTTTCACCTTCACCTTGTACAGGATCCTCTTGAATGCCATTGTTGTGAAAATCCACAACTTCATCAATTCTTCCATGAACTCATTGTCTACTTGAATGCCATTATTGTGAAAATCCATCAACATGTTTCTATACAAGTTGTTTGGTAATGGGGGATCGACCCAAGCAAAATACTTGCAATCTTTTTCCTCATCCTGTTATATAAGAAATAAAACCTAATTGGAAGAGATTTGAGATGTAATTAAAGGGGATTAAGGGATACTTACCCGGAAATTAGGGAAACTGATGAACCTCCTGCCAGGGTTTATTGGCCTCCATGATGTCCACTTACCAACGAGGTCTTCACAAAAGCATGTTGCCCTTAATGCTTGCCTTCGTGAGCGGATATTGCTCCTGCTTCCCACTAAGCTTGAAGATGCCATTTTGGTAGAGTTTTGCTTCGATGGAGGGTAAGAAAGGGTTTTTACAGAGGAGGAGTAGATGACAGGGAGGTTAGTGAAGGGTGATAAGGATGAGCCAGCTAGGGTAACCGACTATAATAAGGATTACTGGTTCCTAGGGCTAAACTGAGTGTAATAGCCAGTAATCTGGCATTTTTCATAAGTGAAATTTAATTTAGGACTAAATCATAAACTGGACCAAAATTTTGGGACTTTTTCGCAGATTTCCTTGATTTTTTAACAAATATTATTTATTTAATAATTAGGTAAATAGTATGTTATTCGATAGCATTTTCAAATTGCAAGTGGTTTGGTTGGATAAACGCGCCACACCCCTTGTGTTGTTTTTCACGTCAAGAGTCCGTGTTCGGATCTCATTCTGTGCATGTTTTATAATGTAAGATGCTTTTTTATGTTTTACATTATCCTTAAATTATTAAGTGCAAAGCATGCGGATAAAGAAGAATATGTAAAAACATGATACATTTACCATTTCTATTAGAGATGAGCAAAAACCGCACCACAACTAAAATTAACCGTATAAACCACAATCGTAATAAAAACTGGTGGTGAGGTTTCCAATTTTTCAAAAAGCGCAAATTTGCGGTGCGATACAGTTGTTAGTTTTCAAAAACCGCACCGTACTACATATATTATATACAATTTGTTTTTAAATAATTACTAATATATTAAATATCAAAAAGAAGGCAAGTTTTATGGATGAAAGAATGATAAAATTCTAAAAGATAAAAGTGTTGTTTTTTGCTATGTTTAACTTTGAAAATGGTGAAATTTCATAATTTACATATGTTTATTGTTAATTACTAGTGATTTTATGTATTTAAGATATTTTGGTAGAGTTTTGCTTCGATGGAGAGGGTAAGAAAGGGTTTTTACAGAGGATGAGTAAATGACAGGGAGGTTAGTGAAGGGTGATAAGGATGAGCCAGCTAGGGTAACCGACTATTATAAGGATTACTGGTTCCTAGGGCTAAACTGAGTGTAATAGCCAGTAATCTGGCATTTTTCATAAGTGAAATTTAATTTAGGACTAAATCATAAACTGGACCAAAATTTTGGGACTTTTTCGCAGATTTCCTTGATTTTTTAACAAATATTATTTATTTAATAATTAGGTAAATAGTATGTTATTCGATAGCATTTTCAAATTGCAAGTGGTTTGGTTGGATAAACGCGCCACACCCCTTGTGTTGTTTTTCACATCAAGAGCCCGTGTTCGGATCTCATTCTGTGCATGTTTTATAATGTAAGATGTTTTTTTATGTTTTACATTATCCTTAAATTATTAAGTGCAAAGCATGCGAATAAAGAAGAATATGTAAAAACATGATACATTTACCATTTCTATTAGAGATGAGCAAAAACCGCACCACAACTAAAATTAACCGTATAAACCACAATCGTAATAAAACTGGTGGTGAGGTTTCCAGTTTTTCAAAAAGCGCAAATTTGCGATGCGATACAGTTGTTAGTTTTCAAAAACCGCACCGTACTACATATATTATATACAATTTGTTTTTAAATAATTACTAATATATTAAATATAAAAAAGAAGGCAAGTTTTATGGATGAAAGAATGATAAAATTCTAAAAGATAAAAGTGTTGTTTTTTGCTATGTTTAACTTTGAAAATGGTGAAATTTCATAATTTACATATGTTTATTGTTAATTACTGTTAATTACTAGTGATTTTATGTATTTAAGATATTAGTTATTTGTGATTTTATGTTAATTGTTTTATACATTTTTTTATTATTATTACAAGTAATATATTTGAACTTTTAAAACCGTTTGAACTCTAAACTGTGGTTAAAAACCACACAAAATAATCGCACTAAATTTATACGGTTAAGAACCGACAAAACAAAAAAACAAAAACCGCACAAAGCGGTTTTGAAAATAGATTAACCGCATTTGCGGTTAGTGTTGAGGTTTTGACCAATAACCACACCGTGTTCACCCTAGTTTCTACGAGTCTATACAAAGTTTCATTTAGTGTAAAACGTTTTTTATTTTGTTATAATATTTTGATGAGGATATAAAATGATGAGCCTATCATATAATATGGTTGAAATATAATATGGTTGAAAGAGAATTATGAATTGATTTTGTGAAATGATGAAGGATTTTGCATTTTATTATATTTAACTCTTGTAATTTATAAAAACTATTGCTATTAATATAGTTATCTAACACATTTTGTTTTCAAAAGAACGTTTACTCGGTTATTATTTATTGCTATTAACAATATTCTTTTGTAATGACAAGAAAATACCAATTTGATTAGTTAATTGGACACCCCATAAATTATATTAGGGGCCCAATTTTAATCTTCGCACCGTTTAAATCAACGGACCAATCTTATTAGGGAAGATGATAAAAACGATCAAGCCAATTTCATATTTTAGTATTATCACCATAAACAAAAGCTTTCCTTACGTAGTCTCTTACATTATGTTCTATCTTAAAATGTTTATTAATGTAAATAAATCATGGCATTGCATGTTTTTGCAAATTATTGATAAGTGTGATTGATGATGGGGATGTTGGAAATGGTGTAGGAAGCATGTGAATTTGTATGCCATGGCTGCATGGTCATAGCATGGGCTACGCTAATTGCCACACTTTTCTTTCATCTCCTCTCTCTTACTTTTCTCCATTAACACTTCCTTTTCAGTCCAGGATTCATATATATAAGCTGAAGAAAACTGACTACTCGATGAAAAGAAAGTGAGTGTACCCCGGACTTCAAACTTCAGTCGCCTATAAAGGTAACCTACTTTTCTTTCATTTTCAAGGTTGGGTTTATCTTTATTTCGTTAATACTTTGCAAATATTTTATTTTGAGATTACGTACTTACGACGTATTTAATTACAGGTGTCTTGACTCTTGATCATGTAAATATTTAAATATACTTTAATATGTGGATAGGGACACTTTACTATGTTGCACACATAACAAATATGTGTATGTCACCAAACAAATAAAAGCCCGTTTGGTTTGTAATCTTTAGTTTTTAAAACAAAAAGTTAAAAATCTATAAGCTATTTCAAGTAGCTTTTAATAAAAAATTATTTTATAATTTTACAAATTGAATTAATTATTTTCTTAGAGTTAATGGCGTGTTTTAGATAAGTATTTTTATGACGTTTTACACATTTTAGAAGTTTTTAATTATTTTTTCAGAACACTTATATACAAATAAAAACTTCAACTTACACATACCAGCTACTACCTACAAGTTTACATATAGTTTTACAAAAACATTTTCTTTTTCTTTTAAGTTCATTGAAGGTTTGTGCACATTGTTTCTTTCAATTTTCAGATAATAAATGAGTGGATTGGTTGCCAAAACCATCGTTTTTTTTTTCATTAAACCATCAAATCAACTAAACATTTGTTTAATGTCAAATACTTTTTTTTAATGCATGCATTGTAGTATGAGAAATTAAACATTCTTGTACTTTTCTTCCTAATTGTCTTTTTATCCATTTAAAATGATGAGAAGTATCCTAAAATATCATTAATTTTATCTAAATATGATACTTATCATTATTTTATTTTATGTGGGTAAGAAGATAAGTAAAAAGAAAAGGTAGAATGATATTTAATTTCTCTTAGTATACTATAGTATACTATCCGACCAAATCTGACCTATGATACGATTTTTACATAACCTTTTTTATTTTGGGAAGCAAAATCAACATCGTAGTAAGGATATATTTGGTATGAGCCTTGAGAATATCCAAAGTCTCATGATAGTTTTGTTGCCAGATACTATTTTATTTTATTTTTTGGTTTTACATGCTTTCACCAAATAAATGTTCGATTTTATTTATGCACATCACAATCTCATTAAATAGCAATGGCATATACACATGGTCTATACCAACCTTATTTGTACACCAAAATCAAATTAAAATAATGTCTTTTTTATTTCTTTTTTTGTAAATGTTATAAAGTTTGTAGCATCGTTGTAAATTGAATATTGTAATAATAACTTCTACTGTCTATCATTGTCTTTTCAAATTATATATACATATTAATCATATATAGGTCTATTTTAATAAATTAGCTCTCACAAATAAACCCGAGTCACTTAGACTTGTTTGAGTGACACATTGCTAAATACAGAACTTCACATATTGTATGCTAATCTAACTAATATGATACTAGAGTCGATAGCACCACATTTAGTGATTAGTCTAGTCTCAACATTCGAGCCTCCAACTCGAGGGATTTCTCAGTGTCCCATATCGGCTAGAAAAGATCGATTGATTAAAATAATAAATCAAGTTAGATAAAAACAATAACGAATAAAATAAATTTTTTGAAGGTGTTTTTGTCTTTTGAATCCATATTTTCAAATTACCTATAATTTCTCTTTGGAAATTCTAGTGGCCAGCAAGCTACTCATCATCATATCTTTACTAGTAAATGACAAAATTACCCCTTGAATAGTTGGTACTCTCAATGAATATTGCCATCATATGTGATGTCTAAACTCTAAACCAAAAATATCTGTCCTTTTGGGCTACTTGTACTTCAATTTTCCGAAGTGTCCATTAACACCATTTCCACCATTCTTATCTCTTCTTCCAATCTCCTCTCTAATGTTTGTGATTTTTTTCTTACTTTTTAATAAATTTGATTAAAATTGGAGATAGTTATAGTCTTATAGACCATCAACTTATATGTAACAATTAATTTATATGTAAATTTTGCATGTCGATCGTGTAGAGAAGAGAATGGAGTCAAAGAAACATGCACAAGACAAGTCATCATCTCCACTGTTCCTACCAGCTCAAAGAGACGTCCGTGGCTCACTTGAAGTATTCAACCCATCAACCAACGACACCACTGCACCATTCCGACCACAGCCCACCTGGCGGAGCTGGGCGGAGTCGCCGCCACAGAACAACCCAGAAACGCCACCGTCGGAGGCAGTCAATGTTAATGTTGCTAGCCTTTCGACCTCTCAATCCGGCAGACTTCCAGCTGATGAGATCAAGTCATGGATGGCCCTGAAAGATCCTAACCCGTATGAAGTTCCGCCGGTGACGTTGGCGCCTAAGTCACCGGCCTTTGCTCAAAGTTCCAAGGTGGCTGTGATGGCACCACAGTCGCCGGGTGGAATAGTGGGTGCTGCTGAACAAAGAGCGGCGGAGTGGGGTTTGGTTCTGCAAACAGACACCGAGACTGGTAAGCCACAGGGGGTTAAAGTAAGAACCTCCGGCGAGGATCCGAATGCTAAACCCGGTTCAAATAGGAGGGATTCGGGTAATTCCCTTCAGAGTTCCAGTGATATATCAGATGATGAGGGATTGGGTAAGTTTCTTTACATTATACTGGTAATAGTTTTTAATTATTGATTGCTTAGTTGCGATATTTAATTTAAATTCTATAATACAAAGAGGTCAACAGTAAATCTGACTTTTTTTTTTAAAAAATTATATTGAACACTATAAGATATGATCATGAAATTATTCCCATTATTATATGAACATCTGAAGGTGTTAATTGTATATGTGACAACTGAAACTGTGGATATATAGTTTAACTCTTTTATGATTCGACTCTTGTGATATTCTAAAATTGGATTAAATATAAAACAATGCTAAACAACTACTTGTTCATGTAGCAAAACAGGTTTTATAAGAACTTATATCATTAGTGTTATTGATAAGTTACATATTATTAATATATATTCTTTTTGGAATAAACAATGGAACAGGAAAAGAGAGAGGTTTTCCGAGAGTATCAGAGGATTTGAAGGATGCATTATCGACATTTCAGCAGACATTTGTGGTTTCAGATGCCACAAAACCAGACTATCCAATTTTATATGCAAGTGCTGGTTTCTTTAAGATGACTGGTTACACTTCCAAAGAAGTAATCGGCAGAAATTGGTATATATGACTTCTTTCTTAATTTGTTCAGAAAAATTCTTATGAAAAAGACACTCTTACGTTGACAAAAAATAATGATTTTGGGTTAATAAAAACTGAAAAAAAAATCCAATTTGACAACTGAAATATGGTGTTAATTAAACATTGATACGATAACTTATTCAATCTTATTATTGCACATCGGTTAATTAATACATTAACTTGGGTCCATAGTTTTTTTTTTTTTTTTTTTTTCTCTTTATAAATACCTAAATAATTTTAATTGAACATATAACCATTATACTTTAATGATCATATGGTTAACGGTTTCGTTTTTAATATTTATACAAAGATATTATTTTGTGGAAAGTTAGGAACAATCACTCACATTTCTGGAACTTTTTGTGGCTTTTTGCATATATTGGAATTGTCGCCTAAATAACATTTTGTCGTTTTGCTGCCTTTGTGTTCCAAAATAACCGTGACACCGTAACAGTATTTTCATCTCATAAATAACTATCACAATAATACGATTTACTATACAAATTCCATTAAAAACAATTATCAATTTTATTTTCAAAAAAGTATGCAAACTTTTGAAATTTGGACAGAATAGATCACAACTGTTTATCTGTTCACGTATCATAATTTATATATATTATAATTATAAATAAATAATAATTATTTTATATTTGAAATAAATGATTGAAAAGGCTGTGTTTGTGTGGGTTTCAGCCGGTTTCTACAGGGTGCAGACACCGACCCGGAAGATGTGGCTAAAATTAGGGAAGCGTTGCAAAAGGGCACGACCTTCTGCGGTAGGCTCCTCAACTACAAGAAGGATGGCTCAACCTTTTGGAACCTTCTCACTGTTTCCCCTATCAAAGATGAAGCTGGCAACATCCTCAAATTCATTGGGTATGTTTTAAATTATAATATTTGAAGTTATTGATGTCTCACAGCTTAACATTCATAAGAAATATAAGATGATTATAATATTTCATAATGAACTATTTGTTCGGTTTAATAAATGTAAAAAAAAAAATAATAAATCGTACTATCTGAACGACCCATATCAACCTATTTTAATGTCGACATGAGAGATCAATGCGGGTTTAAACACTCGACCTTGTGAAATTTTACTCTTCAGCCATTAGGTTTTATTAGTGTGTACTAGGTTGGATAATTGTATATGTAGGTATTTTGGGTCAAGCTCTTTTAGGGGTTTCATTATGCTATACTTGATTTAGGTGTTTTAGTTTGAATATTTTAGATCTAGACATTATTTGTTGTTTATTATCAGGTGTATGCATATAAGTATATAACCCCTACACATCTCTGATACATCGTATTCAACAATGTGTATAGACAAATACTTCTTTGATATTAGCTAGCTCTAGTCTTGTCATAGTCAAATCAAACCCTACGTGATTCATATTTATCTGGCATCTTGTTAAAGAGTTTTCGGACTCAAATATTTTAAATTATCTTCTTTTCTTTCTGATCGACTCGGGATCAAAAAGAATAGTTTTCCACCATATCTAATCAGTTTCTCGCTCGACAACTACACCAACGTTTAAGAAAGCGACACGTTACAAATTTCCTACTAAGTTCACAACTTTACACGATCACAGGGTTAGTTTAGTAATTTCAGTAGTTTGTATTCTATCACTTGATTTGTTTCATTAGGTGAGGGGTTGAGGGAGGGACATGGTGGTCCATTAATGATGGACCATTGGAACCCATCGTGTGTGATGTTACTAATTGATGGTGAGTGATGGTGCATGGACCCTCCTTGAGGTTTAGTCCCTGTTTCCATATGGCTCTGTTTAATTATTTTATTTGTCACATATTAATATTATTCCACCTTATCTAATATTTAACTCAACGTTAAGGGTCCAACATGTAGCACGTGACTCTCACGTGGTCGTTGACATTAGTAATTAGTAATCGTTAATCAATGGGTAACTTAATTAACTACCAAAATTGGATATCATAAAAGGGTAACTTTTTAAAAGTTGCCCTTTGACTGTCACATGGTCGTCGACTTCCAAAAATGGGAAATTAAACTCCCAGCTTTTTACAAATTTACCCTTTGACTCATGCTATTACAAAGTTGACCCTCATTCACATTTTCGTTTCCTCTTGTTTTTCAAGTGTTCTGTAATTTAATTTTCTTAAATATTTTTAAGAATCAATTATGGCGTAACACGGGAAGAAATTAAACTATGGTAGGGTGGATTTGTGTTATGGAGTAATTTGATTAACAGTGTTCATGATCATAATCGTCATATACAGAATGCAAGTGGAGGTGAGCAAGCATACAGAAGGGACGAAAGAGAAGACGCTCCGGCCAAATGGGTTGCCTGAATCTTTGATTCGATATGATGGTACTCGTTTTTTCTTGTTAATTAATATCTCACAAACTCACCATGTCTCCAATATTGATATGATTTGATGTAATTAATTAATCTTGTAGCCAGACAAAAAGAGATGGCATCGAGTTCAGTGACCGAGTTGGTGGAGGCAGTGAAAAGACCTAGATCACTCAGTGAGTCAACCAATCGTCATCCATTCATGACGGAATTAGGAAAGAAGGAGAAACAAGACAAAGCCGATGCGTCGGGTTTAGGCCGGCGTAAATCAGCAGAGACTATGTATGCTCAGCCACCACCTCCTCCACGAAGAAATTCACACGCCGGCGTTAGAACCATCAAAACCATGCAGCCAATCGACGAGCTTCCGGAAAAGAAGCAGAAAAAACCAAGACGTCTTTCATTCATGGGGTATTTAAACTTTTTGACTTTTCATGTCAAACTTATAGAGTTTCATAAAAAACATACATGCATGCATGCCAAGCATTGGTGAACTCTGAACTAGTAAACGTATACAGAGTTATCGAGTTTCTAATGCATATGTTTATGGGAAAATGACTTAAAAACCCAACAAAGTTTCCAAATCGTTTAAAAAACCCCAATCATATTTTGTCTGTTCAAAAACACCCAACAAACTTAACATTTTATCTAAAAAGTCCAATTAAGTTACACTTTCTCGAAAGTCAAATAAGAGAAACAGATAACGTGGCTTATTACCGTATCGGAAAAATGACTTGTTAGACCAACGAAGTTTTCAAAATGTTTAAAAAACTCCAATCATGTTTTGACTGTTCAAAAAAACCCAACGAACTTAAACAAAACAAAATTAGAATTTTCTGAACGGTTTGAAACTTTGTTGGATTTTTTAGACAAAATGTTAAGTTCGTTGGGTTTTTTTGAACAAATAAAACATGATTGGGGTTTTTTGAATGGTTTGGAAACTTCGTTGGCTTTTAAATCATTTTCCCTATGGTTATGATACAGAATCAAGAAGAAAAATCGTAAAAGTAGTGAAGAATACGATGATGGATTCGAGGGAGACATCAACATTCAGGATACCGATGGTGAGGTTGACGATGAAGATGATGGGTTTGAGCTTAAGAAGTCTGATTCGAGGCCAGAAAGCTTGGACGACAAAGTTAGAAAGAAAGAAATGAGAAAGGGTATTGATCTCGCAACAACCCTTGAACGTATTGAGAAAAACTTTGTCATCACTGATCCTCGACTTCCCGATAATCCCATCGTAAGTCTAGTTCTACCATTTGATCTTACAATTCGTCAAAAAATTCAGAAATTTCTAATGTTTTCAAGATTCCGATCACCAGATTTTTGCGTCGGATAGTTTCTTAGAGCTAACAGAGTATAGTCGAGAAGAGATTCTGGGAAGAAATTGCAGGTAATTTAATTTAAGGTTTATATACTGAAAAACAATGCTTTATGATAAACCATTATTATGTTAAGGTTTCTTCAAGGGCCTGAAACTGATCCAACAACCGTCAAGAAAATCCGAGACGCCATTGATAACCAAAGAGAAGTTACTGTACAACTCATCAATTATACAAAAAGCGGTATATATGCACATATATATAAACATACATATACATATATGTGTTTATGAATATACTAAATCTTCTTTCGTGGTAATCAATTAGGCAAAAAATTCTGGAATCTGTTTCATCTGCAGCCTATGCGTGATCAAAAGGTATGATGACTGAATCAAAAACCCTTGAAGATTTAAGTTAAAAAATAGTATATATATAAAGATTGCATGTATTTTGTGTGGTATAGGGAGAAGTGCAATACTTTATTGGAGTGCAATTAGATGGAAGTCAACATGTTGAGCCACTTCACAACTGTATCCCTGAAGCTACTGCTAAAGATGGCGCTGTTGTGGTAACTACAATCTGATCATGAACCCTAATATATATCCTGTGTATACTTACAATTCATTGTATCTATATACACGTATGAATCACTGGCATTTTTTTATGGTTTAATTTCAGGTGAAAGAGACTGCAGCAAACGTAGATGAAGCAGTCCGAGAACTTCCAGATGCTAACATGGTAAAACCCTAGTTACCAGAATGCAAAACTAGATTCTGAAAAATAAAATTAACACTTAATGATTATAGAATATGGAGTGAGTTAAATTTAATGATTGTACACAGACCCCAGATGATTTATGGGCAAAACATTCGAATGAAGTTCGCCCCAAGCCTCATAGAAGGGATAGCTCAGCATGGAATGCTATTTTAAAGGTACCATATATACCTTTAAAATGTCTAGGATTCTATATAAATTAATATTCATATGAACATACTATACATACACATATATCTAGAAAAGCCCAATTGTCTGTTCAAAAAAACCCAACGAATTTAACCTTTTGTCTAAAAAATCCAACAAAGTTTCAAACCGTTCAGAAAATTCCAATTTTGTTTTGTTTAAGTTCGTTGGGTTTTTTTTTTAAACAGTCAAAACATGATTGGAGTTTTTTAAACGTTTTGGACACTTTGTTGGCCTAACAAGTCATTTTTCCAATACGGTAATAAACCACGTCATCTGTTTCTCTTATTTGACTTGCGAGAAAGTGTAACTTAGTTGGGCTTTTTAGATAAAATGTTAAGTTTGTTGGGTTTTTTTGAACAGACAAAACATGATTGGGGTTTTTTAAACGGTTTGGAAACTTCGTTGGGTTTGTAAGTCATTTTCCCAATTGTTGTATATTGGTTTATGTAGGTTATTGAGAGTGGAGAAAAGTTAGGATTGAAGCATTTTAAGCCCATAAAGCCTCTAGGATCAGGTGATACAGGAAGTGTTCATTTGGTTGAGTTATGTGGAACTGGAGAGTTCTTTGCGATGAAAGCAATGGATAAAAGTGTAATGCTCAATCGTAACAAGGTAAGAATATCAAGGTTTCCCAAACCATTTTTAACAGTGGTTGCAAAAATATCCATTTGGTAATTTTTTGGAATTTGTGTGCTAATTTTTTTTACATGAAATAGGTGCATAGAGCATGTGCAGAAAGGGAGATCTTGGATATCTTAGACCATCCTTTTCTTCCAGCATTATATGCTTCATTTCAGGTAAATTTTGCACATTTAAAAATTATAGTAATAAATCATATCAGCTTTAATTTAACAAACAAAAATCTTTGCAGACACCATCTCATGTTTGTTTGATCACCGATTACTGTTCTGGAGGAGAACTTTTTATGCTTTTAGACAGACAACCAATGAAGGTCTTGAAGGAAGAGGCTGTAAGGTATAATTTCTAATTACAACTTGATTGACACTAGGTATATATTAGATGGTATTTATTTATTTATTTTTTAAACTGATAATTCTAACAAACGTATCTTTTTCCTTATAGATTCTATGCTGCGGAGGTGCTCGTGGCCTTAGAGTATCTTCATTGTCAAGGTACACCATAAAAACAATGCATGTACTATGTTTGTCTTAGAAAGTTTGTCAAGTGTTTCATAAAACCAATAGATGTAACTCGATTTAATAGTAATGAATTGGCATAAAATGGTGGTATGTTGTAGGTATTATATACAGAGATTTGAAGCCAGAAAATGTATTGATACAAAGCAATGGACATGTAGCCTTGACTGATTTTGATCTTTCTTGCTTGACATCTTGCAAGCCTCAGGTATCTCTAATGATCCTCTAGAATTTCCTTCTTTAATATCCCAATAAAACTAACTTACAAACCTTTTTAACTTCTTGATTCAGCTTTTGATTCCTGAAGTAAATGAAAAGAAGAAGAAGAGGCATCATAAAGGTCAACAGACTCCAATTTTCATGGCTGAACCAGTGAGGGCATCGAATTCTTTTGTGGGAACAGAAGAATATATTGCTCCGGTTCGTGTATATATATATACATCTATCTATCAATCACTTATATATATACCTCTACAATCTGATATTCAGATAATATAAGATGTTTTTTTACAATGTTTTAGGAAATTATAAGTGGAGCTGGACATTCTAGTGCAGTGGATTGGTGGGCTCTTGGTAATTTTTTGAACTTATCTATGAATTTCTCTTTAGAGATATTACTAGTTTTAGATTATTTATTGTTGTACTTTGTAGGTATTCTTTTATATGAAATGTTTTATGGGTACACGCCATTTAGAGGAAAGACAAGGCAAAGAACATTCGCTAATGTTCTTCATAAAGATCTCAAGTTTCCTGGTAGTATACCGGTGCGTTTTCCAAAACATGCATGCTCAATCAGTTTTTAGTAATCAGATTTCAAGTTTAGCTATTAATTATCAAATATAATATCATTCTTGAAACTGAAAAGAATTTGAATGTAATCCAGGTAAGCCTTCAAGCCAAACAGTTGATTTATAGATTATTGCATAGAGATCCAAAGAATCGATTGGGTTCACATGAAGGTGCAAGCGAAGTGAAACGACACCCTTTCTTTCGGGGTATCAACTGGGCTTTAGTTCGTTGCCAGGTAAACCTAACTGGTTTTCTAGATTTATAATGTTATTGTTCCAGAAATGACGATTGAAGAAACTCGATTGTATAAAACGAATGATCTAGTGATTGAAAGAAATTGGATTAATTGAATGTTATAAACGTTTAATTTGTATGATTGTTTCAGAGTCCTCCGAAGTTGGAGACTCCTGTGTTTGGAGCAGATGAAGATGATAAGGTCAAGGAGGCTGACCCTGGACTCAAAGATTTGGAGAATAATGTTTTTTGAAAGTTTTATGTGTATGTGTTTTTGTGTGTTTTTTGCTTAAATTTATTTCTGAAGTTGTATAAAGAATGGTTTTATTTGTGAATTTTATTTTCTTGATTTTATTTGTGTTTTAAAGAACTTATAAAGGAAATAAAAAATCAATATGATTTGTGTGATTAGATTTTTATACACATTTGGTCTATTTCATTTTTCATTTTGTATCTTGTTTATTTATACGTCATGTTTGGCTTATGTTATTGACGTGAGAAAATAGAAGTGTAATGTCGGATCTGACTGTGATTTGGGAGTATCCCAAGGTCATTCCAGAGGGCTGCCATTAGATCATCAGGTGGTGTTTACAAATCACTTGGTAATGAGACATCATAAATTGAACTCCGACTAAGATGAATGAGTTGGAAAAAAAATGAGTATGAACGACTCCTTATGCAAAGGGAGTAGATAAAAGGTCAGCAAGAAGATAAAAGGTCTGAGATAAGAGGATGGATAACCAAGAAGTTGTTGTGATAAAGCCATATCTATATACCACATGATATGATACTAATAATTTTTCCTTTCACAACATTCTTTTTGAAACTTCCATATATTGTTCGTTGCCGGTATACCAGACGGCCTTATAGCATATTCATTTAAAACTTCTATTACTTTTCAATTTCTTTCGAGTAATAATTATAATTTGGTTAATTATGTTAAATAAATATCAAATCTAAATTGTAATCATATATAAACTAAATTCCAATATTAAAATAATATCTTTACTTTTACTTATAAAGTTATGTTTTTTTAATTTTTAACGTATTATATTTAATTTCTTAGTTTTAATATATTATTGGATGTAAACCATTATCATTTTAAAGATACAATTTTGGAACAATTTGTATAAAATACTTAAATTATTAATTTAAATATAACATTATAGGGTCAACTTAAATATAAGTTTTAGGCCTCGGTTGATAGTTGCTGATTGAGAAAGTGCTGACTGAGAAATGTCTGTCTGGGTAAGAAATCCTGATTGGGTAAGAAATCTTGTTGTTTGATTGTAAATCTGACTGAATGTGCTGAGTGATGAAAAATGACCATTTTACCCTGCTGTTATATATATTGATGGATTAAATTGTTGAATAATTATAAAAACATACATATTGTCATACAAAATCTAAATTACACACAAATAAAAAATGTCATACAAAATGTAAATTAAACATAAATAATTTAATATCCAAATAAAAACATAATGAAATTTAAAATAACATAATTTAATGTAAAGTAGGTGAAAGTAGTCGATTTGCAATCTGATCACGCAAAACACGCATATATTCAACGGCTTCTGGACCCAATTCTATGTCTTGTATGTTTTCTCTATCAATTCCCCCACCTTGGACGTCAGGAGTAACCATAGTGTCCTCCTCAAAATTTCTAAACAAGTCATCTTCTATATTGTATTTCCTTATAAAATTATGGACCGCGACACAAGTAATGACTATGTCTCTTTGCACTGTAAAAGGATAAGGAGTCATTTGTTTTAAGATTGGGAATCTCGCCTTCAATACACCATAAGCACGCTCAATAACATTTCTAAGTTGTGCATGAGCATGATTGAACATTTCTTCTCTAGTTAAAGGTCTGCCTCTTCGAAAATCGGCTAACCAATACCTAGTATTGCGGTATGGAGCCATAAACCCATGAGTGTTTGTATGTGCGGCATCACAAAGGTAATATTTATCTGCAAAAGAATGTGACACATTATATAATGACACGTATTATATAAAGAAGATAGATAATAAAAATTATATAAAAATTACAAACCTGGTGGAGGAAATGGAAATCCAGAAGTCGAATTGAATGCAACTTCTTTCAAAACTCTTGAATCATGTGCTATACCCTCCCATCCAGCCCAAAAAAAGGTGAATATCATATCAAAATCACAAATTCCTATTACATTTTGAAAACATTCTCCTTTTCCTCTTCCTCTATAACGAGTTTGTTGATCAACAGGTACAACCGCATGTACAAGAGTTCCATCTAATGCACCAATTGCTCCAGAAAAAATATTTTTTAACCGTCTATGTCGTTCCAAGTTATGTCTTGTTGGGTTAGGAGTTGTTGGTACTATAATTTCTTTTGCAAAACACATCATTGCTGTTAGGACCTCGTGAAAACATTGATGAATCGTTTGTGTGGAGTGATGAAATCTTCCCTTAACTGCGCGAAAACGTTCATTATGTCCTATAACATGTAAGAATATATCCATCTTCTCTTCAATGCTTATTGTCCTACTAGATTGCAACCAATTTTTTTGGGTAAAATGATTGCATAATAATGCAAATGCCTCTTATGTAAGACGCATCATATCAAAACATTGTGTAGGGTCTCCATACATCAAATCTTGTGTATATGCATACCTGCTTGAATCGTTATCTCTAATTCTATGAATTCTGATTAGTCTGCGCCGGTTTGACCTCAACCAATAAAACACAAGTAAAAGAAAAGCTACAACTTCACCATCAGAAACCATACTTGATCTGTTACAAACAATTAGGTAACATGTTAAAGTAAAAAAAAATAATAATAATAATAATGCACCAAAAAAATGAGTAAACAACATCAAAAGTAACAAAAGTCATATAGAAAATGTTATATAACAAAATACTAGTAAACCAAAAAGTCATCAAACATAGGATCCAAAAAACTAGTAAACATCATCCAAAAAAGTCATCAAACATAGAATCTAGAAAACTAGTAAACATCATAAAAAATAAAAAATAAAAAATAAAAAAAACTAGTATCCAAACTTTTCTACCCGCACCTATCAAAGGTAACCATACTTCCTACCCTCACCCATCACCCACGACTCACAACTACTATGCGAAAGTCGTAACCAAACTTTTCGAACATCAGCACTTTCACCAAATAGCAAAAGAGCGGTCTTGCGTCTTTCATCTTCTTCTCCCCATTCCATTTTGTTCAATTTCTCCATACACGCATCAACATCCTTATCCATTTCACTTTTTTCAATTCTTTCCTTTTTTTCCACTAACGACCTTGCAAGCTTGACAATCTCCTCTTCAACTTCTAATGCCCTTGCATCTCTTTTTTTTCCACCAACTCTTTTGTTTCCACCAACTTCCTTATTTTTTGAACGCCCCGAAGATTCTTCACTTGCACCTACGTGTTGTGTTGAGGTTTCCATTGGAACATCATCATCAAAATCATGGGGACTAAACTCTTCTACAGGATGAGGGAGTGTAGAAGATGGCCCCCAACTTTGAAATCCGGTTGATGTCGACCCTTCAAATAGTTGGGTGCAAAGATCAGGGAACAATATGGGTTTAGTTTTCAATGACAACACGAACTTGTTCAACTGTTTACAATTTTTATAAATATTAGTATATGTTATAAAAATAATCATAATAGTATTGATTAAAAAAATAAATTTAATCAAATAGTATATGTTATAAAAATATTCATAATAGTATTGATTAAAAAAATATTACCTTCCCCTCTTCTTTCCATTGTTCATCGGTCAAATTAAATTTATTTTTTATAGGATCATATATATTGCCGGTTTTGTTTTTGAGTTTCACCCAAGCAACATACTTTGATTTGTAGTAGTCAAAGTGGTTTCTCATTTGCTTCTGATCAACCTCTTTACCGTGTTCGTTTATCAATTTTTCGCGTATTGTCTTCCATGAACTTGCCTTAAGCCCAGAACCCTCACGACCATTAGTGGTTAGTTCATGGATACGTGCATCAAGAAAAGTTTTGTCCTCACTCTCGTTCCAAACCAACATCCTAAAACATTAATATTTAAAGTAATTTATCATAGTTTTTATCAAGTTAAAGAACAATTTTAAACATAAAACAATTTTCAACCAAGGAAGTTAACATCATCCTAAATTATGATTTGATAACTTATACACAAAACATCAATATTCAAGCTAACAATTTCACAAAAGATAACAAGCTAACAATTAAGGTCAACAATATCAAAGCTATAAAATTAAAAAAAAAAAAAAAAAAAAACCCAATTTTTGATTTACAAACCTACTTGAATTTTCCAATTCACATTCAATTTCAATTCACAAGCTATAAAATCAAAATTCAGAAGAAAAAAAAAAAAAAAAAAAAAAAAAACTTCCAATTCACTTTCAATTTCAATTCATAAGCTATAAAATATGAACTGGAGAAACAAACTTCTAATGTGAATTGGAGAAAAAAACTTCAAATTCAGAAAAAAAAAAAAAAAACAGATACAAAAAAAACAAAAAACAAAAAACAACTAACAATTCACATTCAATTTTAGAATTCATAACATTAGAAAAAAAAAACTTCAATTTTCAGTTCTTATACACAAAGAACTACAAAACAAAACATAAACAAACTTCCAATTCACATATAATTTCGAAATTCATTATATTAGAACAAACAATTTCATATTTCAGTTCTTGTACACAAAGAACTACAAAAAAGAACAAAAAAAGCTTATCATATGAACATACAGGTTGAGAATTCATAATATTCTAACAAATACTAATTTGATTTCATAAAGAACTACAAATTTCATACCATCAAAGCATAAATGATATCTGATTTTGAAAATTATTAACAGAAAAATCATGTAACTTGTGTGATGGATCAAGAAGGCGTCACTGATGGCGGTGGCGGAGGTCCGGCGATCCAGCGGTGGAGGTCCGGCGAGATGGCACAGGTCCGACTGGTCCGACTGTTTGGCGTTCAATGTTGTGGAGTTCTTCCTGGCGGCTGCTGTGCTTTTAGGTCACTGGAAGGGAAGCGAATGGGGAAAGAAATAATAACGACGCAGGGTAAGATAAGGGCAGTATTGTCTAATTTCCAATCGGCAACTATTTGAGGTCTGAGCCAGAAAGCGATTTGGGTCAGCAATCTTACCGAGAAAGCTCAAATCAAACACCAAAAGGTCTGACCGAGTCAGCCCAATTTGCTGACTCGACCCAGTCAGACATTTATCAAACACTCCCTTAGTTTAACTTAAACAACCCAAATAATATTTTGTAAATAGTTAAAAGTTATAAATTATAATTTCTTTCTAATAATGATTATAAGTTGGTTAACAATGTTAAATAAATATCAAACTTAAAGTATAATCATAAATAAACTAAAATTTAATTTTGTAATAATATATTTACTTTTACTTATAAAGTTA